TACTGCAATAAATACTTACGTATAGGCAACACTGATGTTCGCAGTGCAGTCTTGGCGTCTGCAGAATGTATAAACATTTTTTTTAAATATTACTTAATGTGTGTATGTATATTTCTTTTATATAGGGAAAATTTAAAAAATTATATAAAAACAAACAAGAAGACTACAAATACTACCTTGAAAATCGGCTCCAAAATGACTGCCTGTAGAATGAAAATAAGAAGAAGAAGATGAAGAAGAAGAAAGGACAAAGGAAAGATTTCAATTCAGTTCAAGTCACTTCAATTCAGTTATTATTTAAACAGTGCAAAATCACAGGAAGAGTTGCTTCTAGGCACTTTACATTGCACAGACCTAAAATAGAGCAAGCACTTGGCAACAGAGGAAAAAGAAAAACTCTCTTTTAACAGGAAGAAACAGCTGGCAGAACTAAGCTCAGGGAGGGGCAGCCATCTGCTGCAACAGGTTGGGGGTGCGGGGAGGAAAACAGGATAAAAGACACATTGTGGAAGAGAGCCAGATATTAATAATAACTAATAATTAAATATAGTGTGGCATATAAACATAAAGTGAGTGAAAAAAGGTCAACGAAAAAGAAGTCCTACTGGTCTATTGCAGCTTAATTAGGGAAGGATTCAGGGTCATCTAATCCCACTCTAACAATATGCTTTATTAAAATGGAAACTTTTAAGACTAATCTTAAAAGTAGGAAGAGTGTCTTCTTAATCCAAACTGGGAGGTGATTCCACATAAGAGGAGCCTGAAAGCTGAAGACTCTGCCTCTCATTTTACTTTATAGGTACCACAAGTAAGCCCACAGTCTGAGAGCTTATACGGTAATATGAGTTTTTCAGATAAGATGGGGCCTAATTCTTCAAGACCGTGTATGTCATGAGAAGGAGTTTAAGTTTAATTCTGGAATTAACAGGGAGGTGATGAAGAAAGGCCAAAAGGGGAGAAATATGCCCTCTCTTTCTAGTCTCTGTCAGTACTCTTGCTGCAACATTTTGGATCAAGTGAAGGCTTTTCAGGGAGCCCAATTGCAATGAATTACAGTAGTCCATCCTAAAAGTAAAATATGTATGAACTAGTTTTTCAGCATCTGAGACAGAATGTTTCTAATTTAAGAAATATTAGGTAAATACAATAAAGCAATCCTACAAATTTTTTAATATGCACATTGAAAGGTCAAAGGTCAAACCTGGTCAAAACAACTCCAAGATTCCTCACAGTGTTACTGAATGTCAACGTAGTGCCATCCAGATTAAGCATCTGATTAGATACAATATTTCTAAATAGTTTAGGGCCGTGTTCAATAACCTCAGTTTTATATGAATTTCAATGCAGGTAGGTCTTTAAGACATTTCTGCAGTTTTACTTAAGAAAAAGAAGGAGAAACAACTTTAAGAGTAAAAAGTTGTACAATCAAAATCCAACAGCACCTGGGCTTCCTCTCATGTTGCCATGCCATGCGATCCTCTTCTTTTCTATTAAGAGTACAATCAACAGGATATTTCCAGTTAAGCATTCATATCAGGGTTACAAATGATGGCTTTCTTTTTTTGTTTTCCTTACCGTGAAAATCGACTCCAAATGGACCTCCTATTTTGAAAGCAAAGCATTGTTAGTTGGTTTATTTTACTGTATTTCTTCAGTTTGCAGAACACTGATGATATACCTTTTTTCTGGCCTTGGTGGTCTGTCTCTGTCATCTGTGTATCTCCTAAATATTTTGTGAGACAATTAGGAGTCAGTTTTTTAAAAATGCAAGGCACAGTCTATACACAATAAATCACATGAGTCACTTTATTTCATTACATGATACAATGAAGAGACCAGTCACAAAGGAATCCTTCAAAATGGTTACCTGGATAATCTATCCCAAAGTGATCTTCTGTGAAATTACAGGGAGAAATATTTACAGGGTTGTTTTGGTGGAGATGTTAAAAAAGAAAAAAATAACAGTTATTAACAAATTAGCGACATTTTTCACACATGCTTTTACAAATATTAGCTCAAACATCACATTTATAGACATCAGGTGTATAAAACAACCATTGCAACCATCAACTTTTTTTTTATCATGTTGCTCATAAAGCTCATTTGACCATCTCAACTTCATTTTTCTGTGTCAGATATGATATGACTGATAAAACTTATTTATATTTAATTAATATGGATATGTTGTTGAAGCAGGCTCTGGATGCTTTTAGATTCTTTTGAATCATTTTAGAACATCTTTAAAGTACGAACTCCTGTATTCAGTTGTGATGAGAGGTCTTGACTCATGACTGAATTATGTCATTATTATTCACTTTTTATGTTAAAATAACTTGCCTTTTTTCTGGTCGAGGTGGTGGTTTCAGTGATTCATCTGTGTGTTTCCTATATTTGGTTGGAGGAGAAAAAAAACATTTTCAGCTTCAGAGTCAACACATTGTAACATCGTTACACAGACAGCTGCAATCACTATCAGAAATATGATATGATATAAATTAATGTTATATTTCCTCAACCTTTTCCTCCAGATGAACACTGCAAACACTGCAGCTAAGGTGATTATGATGAGAGCCACAAATGAGACTGGAAAGGCCATTGGAGCAGAACATTTAAACTGGTACATCAGTGATCCTGGTGATGTAAATACATTTGAGGTTAATAAACACAATTCAACAGATGAAATACTTCGATAACATATAGAGTAGAGATAAAGTGTGTCTGCTAACCCTTCACATTTAAGCTGACTGTGTGGGCTTGTTCCCTGTTACGCCAAAAGATAGCGTTACAGGTGAGGTTTCTGACTCCATCTCCTTCAGTAACAATAAAAGTGATTGTGGAAGTTGTCTGCCAGGTGCCTCGTGACATCATGAACTCTGAGACCTCAATGGTGAGGTGAGAGACACTCCATGAGAACACCGGAGGATGTGATGAACATGTGTGTGTAACAGAACACGAAACAGTTATAGTTGAACCAGCATCAACTTCTTTTGGAACGGGGGTCATCACTGGTTTTTCTGGAGAAGCTGAGCATGACAAACACAAAGAAGATTATACTTGATACTTAGAAAGCAATGTGTTTGTCACATTTCAGTGATCTACAGTGGGACTCCAAACCTTTCATGATAATAAATACACAGCTGTTGTTGAATGTATGTGTCTCATGTCCTTTCTCTGCATAGAAACAGAAGGGTCCGTTGTCAAAGGGCTTGATGTCATCAATCTCCAGTGAGCAGTTTCCCTCATTTAGATTTCCTAACATTTTGGTTCGGCCCTTAAAATGGTCAATTACATAGCTTTGGCCATTATGGAATACAATGTCTCCGCTTTTTTTGGACCAGATGCCACGGGTCATCGGTTCATCCTCTTTGTACTGGAAACTGCAGGGAATCACCACACAGGAGCGCGTCAAGGCACTAAATCTTAAAGGGACGTCGGCAGGCAAAGCAGAGGTTGCTGTAATGGGAAAAATGTTAGATGCTGGTTTAAATTAATCCTCTTGAGATGTGACATGATGAAAACAAAAAGAGTTTGAGAGTGCTAACAAGTGCACTTACTGTAATTTTCAAATGCATCTCTCTCATATTCTGGGAAAATGACAACAACCAATTAATAACAATTCAACATCTGGAGGAGTATTTTTGTGTTTTTGGAAAGTTAGATGAAAGTAGGTCTCATATATAAGGTGTAAGCCATAAGCCTATTGGTTCAGATTTATAGAAACAGTTATAAGACCTATAAAGTGTTATAAAAATTGTTGGTCCCTGGGCAATAATGGAGACAATCTTTTAAATCTAGATGGAGGCAGGTTTTATACTTTTCTTTCTAGTTTTCTCTTTACAAATGTTTTGCGGCACTTTTCATCCATCTAGCAATCCTTCAATTTTCTTCTGCTGATCCAATTTACGCTCATAGGGTGAAAAGTGGGGTACACCCTGGACAAGTTGCCCATCTATTACAGGTCTGGCACTTTAATGCACATGTAAAATGTCTTTCTGGATACATTATCTAAAAGTTTTGTATTTCTCCCTCTTTTCCCTTCTCAGTGACTTCCAGCTTATGACTCAGCTATATGTTCATATATAATGCCCAAATCAAACACGCTAGCTTTAATTCTAGTCAAGCTAATGGCTTCCTCTTCTGCTTGTGTATGTGCTAACCTGAGCTAATTGGCGGCTGGCTTTATTTTATTTATTTATTTTTTTTACCA